TGCAGGAGGTATAGGAATCAATGATATACCGCTTTCACAAAGCACACATCATAGAAAAAAGTTCAAATATGTAGAACTTAAGGAGACTTGGAGTGGATTTCAATAACTAATCATCTTAAAGGCCGACAGCTTATTCTTCATTTTTATACCAAACTGTTGGAACAAATTACCACTGGGCTTAACATTATTCAAAAAATCAAGCAACTTGCAGTCTCAGTGAGTTTCCCGGATGAAGATACCATGGAAGACCATCTTTTAGGTGTTGTTCAATGTCCCTTTTCAAAGAGAGTTGACCAAGCAGAACAAGTGCACAATCTTTTAGAATATTACGGATGTAAAAAGCAGATCATTGGTATATGCTGTGATACAACTGCAAGCAATACAGGCGGAGTCAATGGAGCAGTCCAAATTCTTACAGATATTTTGAAAATACCAATTTAGTGGATAATGTTTAGGAGACACATATATGAAGTACATGTATCTCACTATATGGCTGCTCTTACTGGTGAGAAAACTAAAGGTCCAAGGAGAGCTCTTTATGTCAAGCTAAAGAACAAGTGGCCTGAAATCTGTGAGAAAGTTAATGAAGTGAAAAATTTATGTAAATTGGACTGGCAAAGAGATGATCTGAAGATTGGCTCTGTTCTTCGCACTGTTACAGAGGAAGCTAAGAAATTTTTGACTAATGCAACTACTGATATAGTGTTTTTAAGGAATGATTCTTCCTTGGAGCGGAAGTACAAGATTTTAAGTTCCATCAACCTGGCACCTGCCTTGAGGCAAGGTTTTTAGCAGTTGCAATCTACATCCTGACTTTTTATATGACCAAAGATATCAGTAATATCTTGACAGAAAAAGAAGTGCTGCAGTTGAAGGATGCAAGTTTGTTCATTGTAATTTGCTATGTTCCATAGTTTTTGAAAAATTAGGATTTCTGGCTCCCTACAATGATTTAAAAGCTATCCAGACAGCCTATGCATTGAGAAAAGTCAATGAGAATATTGAAAATGCTTTGCTTCTCAGCATGAAACGCCATACGTGGTACTTAACTCCGCAACTCTGTGTTTTTTCCTTTGGGGATAAAGAAGTTCCTTCTGAAACAAAGCTAAGAATTCTGTTACCTCTGATTGAGTTTGAAGAGCCAAATGAACTTCAGCGTTGTAAACCATCAAATGTACAAATTGGAGAGACAACAGAGCTACTTGAGTTGATTTCCAAGCAAAGCTACCTTCTCTTCAAACATTTAAAATATCAAGAGCAAGTATAAAAGAATGGCTCAATAATAGTCTTAATACTATAGATGTTTTTAACCATCCTCAGTTGCTAGATTTTATTGCATGGCTCAAAAACATATCTGTTGTAAATGATGGTGCAGAAAGAAACATTAAGCTCATTAAAGATTTTATTTCAGTTACTAGAGATGAAGATCACCTTCAAAATGTACTTTTTGTAGTTAAAAAGTCTAGAAAAAACTTGACTAGGAGTATTACTAAAAAGGAGCTTGGGAACTATTCAAAAAGTTGTATTTTTTGAGAAATGTTTCACCGCAATAAAATCTTATATTTGATAATAAATATTAGTTTTAATGTTTGTTTTTTTGTTTTGTTTTGTTTTTTGTATTTTCATATTTATAAACATAATCTATCAAGTAAAATAGTAGAAAACAATTGGAAATGATTTATACGCATTTAATCGTTTTTTTAATTTTCTAAAATGTAAAAAAATTGTGTTTTCTATTAATGTTAAGTCAGCTCAACATTAAAACAGTAAAATTCAGATTTTACATCTAGCACTTCCTGTCAAAATAAAACCATCAAATTTTTTTTAGTACTTATTTAGGTCACATAGAATGAGAATCAGTAGAGAGCTTTTTTTTTTTCTTTTTTTTTTGGGACACCCTAATCCTTAGTTACCTGTTAGTTCCCAGGTTTTCACTGTTTTTTTGCAGGCAAAATTCAGAAACACCCATAAGATTACTAATTTCAATGTTTTTATGATTCTTTGATTTGACCAGTCTAATAATTTGCCATTTCATGCTCTCTGACACTGCTTTTCTACCCATTTGCAAGCAAATTGAAATTTAAAATATTGCAGTTATTTTTTAGATAATTTTTTGCAATTAAAATTTCTAATTGTATTTTAAAATTATTTTTTTATTTATGAATCATGAATATATTTATAATTTATAGTGGTAATTTATATAATTTAGATGTTTTGTTTAAAACAACAATTTTACTCAAACAAAACATCTTGGACTACATATGTTATTAGAGAGATTTCACTTGATGATTTTAATTTGCTTTCTCTAAAAATGAAACCACGCTAGAGGGGAGGAGTCTTATTATTCCATCAACCCTATTTCCTTAATTACAGCTTTATATACATAAGGAAAAAAAAAACATGAGCTAGATATTAAACAAACCCTTGGGTTTATGTTTCGAATATGGATAAATTTTTTTAGTTCATATCACTAAATGTAATGTCATTACTTAATGATTCC